AAATAGCTAAAATTATTTATGACATTGTCTGTGACAACTAGTTTTGCATCAGCGATCGTTGATAAATTGCATAGATCCTAGGCTAGCAATGGTGTCATTGATTGCCTTGAAGAATTTGTCCCATTATGTCAATGACTCTTCTCAGGTCTTCTTTGATTTGCTTTGAGAGCATCTCGAAAGGATGAGAAATTGAGAATTTTGCTCAAAGATAGGCTTGAGGATGATATTAGTTGAGTGAAAATAAGAGATGAATGGCTTGTGAAATGGTGAGGGAGTTTGGGAGTCTATTTTTTAAGTAAGAGCAGTTAAAGCTGTCCATTATTCCAAGAGATAAAACATCCTAACTTCCAATGTTTAAATGATTGTATGTACGATCTGACATCATATGTATGGTTTGTATGCATGATTAGGATCATATGCAAAATTGGCTTGAGCCATGGCTTTTTTATTTGAAATAGGATTTTCACACTAATAATCAAGCATTAGGGTCTAGCATTCTTAATTTTCTTCTAATTTTAGAAAAATTCTCTTGTGGTTCTAATAACAAATATCTGCTAGTTGGTGCTTGATTTTGACAAATTTAATATCCACATCACCATGAGATACATAATTTCAAATGAAATAGTGCTGCATTTCAATGTGCTTTGTACACGAATGTTGTATATTATTTTGGTAAGCTTATTGCACTTGCGTGGCCCACTTAATATGAATGTGTTGAATTTCATAATTAATTAGTTGTTGCTCAAGTTATAAGATGAGTAGCATAACTCTTAGCAGCGGTGTACTCTATCTCTGTAGTGGATAAGGTTATGAGTTTTGCTTCTTACTTGACCACGAATTAATGAGTGTTCTAAGAAGTGATATGCCCTAGATCAGGTCTTTCTGATAATAACTAATTGATCATCTGTTTGATTTCTTTTGCATGTACGATTATGATTATATTTGATTAGAATTGTATGTATGGTCCTCCAGTGAAAATTGAATTTTTTTTTTAATATTTTATTTTGTGATACACATAGCCCGATATGATATTTTTTGTGATCTAGCCAACTTCCATTTCACAAGCTTTACAAGGTTGGCTAGGTGTGAGAGAAAAGTAAGGTCTTCAATGGTCTTGTTTTAATTCTCTGATGTATACTCTACATGATTTTTTTTGAGTGCTTTGATATGAGTTTCAAACGATTTCTACCTCCATAAAATTGTTATCTCCCAAAAGATGTTTTTTATCATCAAAACTATGATTAAGCTTTGAGGCTTATGAGGGTTAACAAAATTTTGTGGTATAAATGAGCAATAACTGAGTTTGGTAAATATTGGGTCTAAAAAGAGATGTCATTCTAAAGCTCCAGGCAACTGAGTTATTCTGTCATGTTCCTGAATATTATGTATGTCTTTACATAACTTCCTTTGTTATATTGCAGATATTTTACACCTATTATTAGTGAAATTGCCCAGCTATACCCAACAAGTGATACCGTCTCTTGACTCTCTACTATCATGATGCATCAAGTTGCAATTTCTCTCTTTTGAATTCCAAATGTTTTGGATTGTAGACTCTCACGTTGCTAATTTTTTCTATTATAACATGTAATAATGAACTTGAGGATTGATTTATAGTAGCTTGAATCAATAAGCCTTTAAATCCATGAAAAAACTAGTAACACGAACCACTTAATATACATAACGCTAAAATAAGGCATCATTTGTTGATTTATTTTGAACCTCAAGGAATTTTTGGCCATCCTTTATAGTTAGGATAGTATATCTGTTGGTTGAAAGGATTAAAATGAAGTTCAGGCAATTGGATAAGGATGCTTCATGTAGGTGCCACTTAACGCCGGTGCTATCAAGATCGGTCGGTTCAGCCAACAGGTTCAGCAATCAGCCCAATTTGGGTTTTCTTTTATGTTTTATCTTATTGATAGTTATCCTAGTGATCAATAGGATAAGCTCTTTTCCTATCTTGGTCATCAAGGGGCTCAATTCTTATAAATAGAACTTTCTCTTTCTATTATAAGCAGTTTTCTATTAGAAATAAAATTTCAGAGTTATGTTTCTTTGTTTTCTTCCTTTTCTTTATCCTGGAATGACATCCAGGTGGTGGCTGCCTTCATCTTCCATCCCCAACAGCCTTTGGTGTTCGTTTTTCCCTCCGCCCATGCTTGAGGACTTCCTCCTGCTGTCCAGGTGTCCTCCACTGCTTGCTCTAACCCCAAGAAAGCCATCTTCTACTGTCCTAACAGCCTTCATCCTGCTGAAAACCCATCAAGAACAATCTCCTGCTCTCTACAGCCCTCATATGCCTGCAACCACCACAAGAACCCCTCCTACAACGGCCCTTCCAGCCTCCAGCCACCAGATTCCACCAGTCCTGCCGCCGATCCTTCCTCCACAGCCCCCGGGTCCCCTCCTTTACATCAGCAGCTCTTTCTTGTTGCTGTCCACGACCTCCAGCCCTCCTGAACCAAGGTTTTCAAAGGCGAAATCGGGAATCGAGGTGTTTTTTTTAAACGAGGCGAGGCGTAAGCCTCGAGGCGGATCGAGGCGTAAGCCTCAAAACGATTAAAATAAATTAATTTAAAATTATAAATAATGGCAAAAAATAACAAAATATTACGTCAACTATGAATTTGAAGATTTGTTTCAAGATAATATTA